ATTTTTTTACTACTAATTAAAGCAGTTACATAACCTGAGCTTCAATACCAAGTAGCACTGTCTCTGCAGATATTGCAGTCAAATTGCACTAGTATTTACACAAAAACTGAACTCACTCAACAATATTAAAATCACAGTACAATACAAAAAATAAACATTTTCACAGCTACCCTTGAAACACACTGTAATTCACAGCCACAAAGCAAGTAGTGGTTTTAATTCACAAGTTGTACGTCTTAAAAGTATTTGGAATTATTGTGCCAGTGCAGTTAGGCTCAGAAACACTGTTCTGTAGTAGATTCTGACTGAGTGCAAAGCACCTGATGTTAGAAATAATACAATAAATGTAAGCAGGGTGAAACAGTCCTGCTCAAGCTGCTAGACTTGTGGGGTTTTTTAAAGTTAAGGGCTTTTAGAGTCTGTCTAAATCAACCTCCACCCGAGGGGTCCCGGCACTTGCACTGGCCCCACATTGCAGCAGCAGTTAGTTGTCAAACACGGCTGCTCGGGAGCTTGGAATAACATTCTATATTCAAATTCAACTCCAGGCTTATAGCATCCTCCAAAAATATTACCAAAGTGAAGACTAACCACTGCGGGTAACAAATACCAATGTACAGAATTGAAAAATAATGAGGTTATCACAGAAATAAGGAATACCTGTGTTAAGACATATTACTCTTTATGAATGGTTTTGTTCTGGACCAGTCCAAAGACAAAAACTAGTAACAAAGAAATAAAATAATCCCAGAAAGGCAAGATACAGGTTTTTTGCCTCTTGGCAGCCTCAGGGAAAGCGTGTTCAACTCTACAGCCCTGACTTTCCAGGTTGGCCTGTCTTGGTGGCAGTGGGGAAGAAAAGCCCTTTCCACACCATGGTCTGCCCTGCTCTCGGCAGGACCAGAGCCAGCAGAACAAGCACCCTGTGCTCTTGGGGCTACAGTGAGCCCCAGGGCAGCAGCACCTGCTCCCCAGGGCTCCTGCTTGGCAGCCACCTGGACCCTATGCTCACCTTGGTCCTTCCTCATCGAGACAGGATGCCCAGCTCAGGAAAACCTGGTGTGACCCCTCTTGGGGATCATACAGCACAACCCCGAGAATTCAGCATGTGGGCCCACACTGGAAACAAATCTCAAGCTCCTCTCCTTGGGCACGAGCAGGAGGCAGTGGGATGCTTTGTGGAATTCGCTCAGGAGCCATCAGCCTTGGGAAGGGCCCTGCAGCTTCCCACAGCCATCCGACACAGGATCCCAGGGAACCCAGGCTGGGATCTGCTGAAAGCAGGGCCAGGCAAGATAGTCCTGGTTCTGGTTCCCTGTGTCTGATACCTTACCTCTGTGTCAGATACCTTACCTCTGTGTCATATGAACAGGATTAAAATAAACTCCCCATGGTGCTGCATTATGGAAACGTACAAAGGGCCAGCGGCTCCTGCGTAGGTTTCACACGGGTTTCATTTTGTGTCAGAGACTACCACGTGTGAGAGTTAATGGGCATAAGTGAGAAAAATAAGCTGGAGGAAGCAAAATATAGCTAATGAATAACAGTTTGTTTCAGCATGGATCATTGTAGCATTCTGGTAAAACTTGAGCTCTAAATAACTATTTACTTCAATCCCTTCAGTATCTTCCATGAACGACTTGTAGTTATTAAAATATTCCCAAATATACCAAGAGGAAAGATAGGTTAAAAGCATGACCACGAAATCATAAACTGTTTAATCTCATTTGCTAGTCGAGGCTAATCCAGCACAACAAGGGAAGACAGAACTTTTAGGTGGTCTTCTCATTTTGAGATGAGGCGCTGTATCTCATTTGTAGTAAACACAACCCATCATCATCATCATCATCAATTATTAATGAACTGCCCAAAGGCTGTAGCTGAGATTACGTTCTCTTTGCATATTGGATAGATCAGAAACTCCACTCAAGTGGCTCAGGGAAAGGCATCTTCAACTACACCCATCACAAAGGTCTGTGGATAAACTCTGGAATCACCTGGCCCTCTAAGCCTGGTAGACTGGTTGTCTTCCAAAACCACCTTATAGTAAGGAGAAGAGCCAAAAGGCAAATATTTAACAACAGACTTGCTAAGTTCCTCAGGAGCTAATGGCTCCAGCCATCACCCTACCTGGAGAAGGTCTGCTCGGTCCAATTCCCCATGTCTGAGCAGCTTCCTCGCTGGTGGGATGGTTCCACAGACACAGTTCCATGACGCGGCAGGTAAAAAGCAATCATGTGGGAGGAGAGAGGAATTTGGTGAGATTTTGCAGTGGTTCTCACTACACCATGTCAAATATAGCAATGCCTAAAAAAGGAACTTTATTTGAGATTGTGAGGCTCAGCTTCAAGTTCCAGCTGGCTTCAGAGGAGGCCGTGACATCTCGGTGTGTACAGCAGGAGCAGGATGCAGTTTGAGGCATTGGCTCTGCAGGTTGTAGGATCTGAAAGATGGAAGGCAAACTGCATGCAAAATGCGTTTAAGGATCCTTCTCGGTGTTGGGTGGCAGGCTCCCATGAGGCCAAGGTGCCGAGTGCCACTGCCTGCCACGGCTGACCATCAGTAAAGTCGTTGTCATTAAATAAAGTATTCAGAACAGACTTTGGCAATGAACCGGATGAATCAGCTGGCCAGTTGCAGAGTTCTCTTCAGCAAGCCAGGAGGAAACCAAGCGAGCTTCCAACAGGTGTATGAGAGCTTCCAATGGATTCATAAGGGCTTCCAACAGGTTCACGAGGAAAGCACTAAACCATTGCAGTGTTCAAGGCCCAGGGGACTATAGGGAAGACAACCCAGCAGAGGTCCAGCTGTCTGGGTTCTGGAAGGTGGATCTCCAGGGCAGGGTGTCCCCCGGGCCACGGGGCTCTCCTGCAGCATGCCCACCCTGCTAGAGCTGGGACCCCAGAATTTAGCTGCCATTGGATTTCACACACATGGCAACAGTCGGCCAACTCTGCCATCTTAAAGAGACATATTGCAAAACGACTGTAAGTAACTCCAGAAGGACCAGCCTGGGTGTGCAGCTTTACATTCTGCTGTGTCTGTTTAGGATCTTTTTTCAGACATGAATTAGTGGAACGTTTTATTTCCTAACTGAAAGAAAAAGAGAGAAATAGACCACAAAATGATGGGAAATGGATACGATTTTAAACCTAGAGCAGCAGATTCAGAGAACATCCTATTTTTATTCTGTCTCCATAATTCATCTGCCATTCGCAACAAGACATGCCTCAGTTGAATGAAGTCTCAAATAATCACCTAATAGGAGAAGTCATTTATTGTGAATCAGGCTCATTCTCCGGTGCTATAAATAGGCTGTTGCTGTTCCACAGTCTTTTGTCAGTGGGGATTAATTAGCACTTGACCCTTGGTTGGGATTTTTTCGCTACCTCCACCTTTTCCATCTTCTAGGGCTAATGAGATCCTAACATTGTTTTAAGAAGCTACACCTCCTAAGCAGGAGCATAATTTATCTCTAGGCTATAAATCAGTGGTTTAGTTTATCACTAGGTTACATATCAACAGTGAAGAGTCAGTGTGGAATTGAGTTTATTATAAAGATGTTCTGTTAGAAGACACAGTATTACAGTGACTGAAACATGCTGTTAAATTTGCCCTGAATGCCCCATTCTGAACATGAACACTGAGAATCACACTTTACATACTTTACAGTTAGCTTTCTAATAAATAAGCTCAATAAATAGGGATTTTGCAGATTAAGAAGCTGTATGTGTGAACAGAAGCTGCTTTACAATGTTGTCAAAAAACTAGAGCTATCCTTGTTTGTTACCAAACGCTGGAAATTAATAAGTAAAATACAAATATTTTACTCTTACGATGTAGACAAAGGAACAATGATCTGTTCAAATGACCTTTAGGATTACACAGAACTTAATTTTGTACACTAAGTTTATAATTTAGAGCATGCTTTCATACCATGTTCAGCACACAATATTTTCAAATACATTTCTTAAAAATCTGAGAAACGACTAAGACTGCCTTTGCTCTGATCACTAGCTCTCCTGTTACACAATATTGCAGTTTGGCTAATTTTGGATGACCTATTCCAAATCTGGAGAAGATACATAAGACAGGGCTGGATTTAGTCTGTAGTATATTGCAACATCTTGTTAATAAAGTATTTACTTGTCACAGTACAAAAAAGAAAAAATTCTCCCCAGTTATTTTATATATATAATATATAATCCATGTTTAACACTTATTTTCTCAGGAAACAACTCTTAGGTTATCTGTAAATACTCTGAGGAACTGAAATGTCCTCGTACCAAGGGAGACCACAGGTAACTCAAGCACCTGCCACTTGTCTGAAAGGTGTGGTTATTTCCAGCGCACACGTTTCTCCCACGTTACCCGCGAAGAGCTCCAGGCTCCCAGT